GGCACTATTCCTCTTACTGACACCAATGATGAGGCACTATTCCTTCCAATGACACCAACAGTGTGGCATAATTCCTCCCACTGACACCAACAATGGGGCATTATTCCTCCGATTGAACCAAGGATGGACACCATCCTCCTCCTACTGACCAAAAGAGCAATTATTTTTTCACTTGCCCTGACTCTAGGTTATTTTCTACTCCCAGTGGCCATAGACTGGCCCCCCTAATGTCTAAAGGCTAGTAAACTGGCCCTTTGTTTAGAAAGTTTGGAGACCCCCTGATCTAGTGGATCAAATTGGATGAGAGTTGGATGTAAACGGACAGGCGTCCATTTACATCCAACCATCCCATAGAGAGCAGCAGAGTGTGCCGATGTCCACTCTGCACAAGCGGAGTGGACACAGACCTGCCATCCACCTGCTGAGCAGATGGATCCACTTGGCGGAGGCCACCCATGTGAAAGGGGCCTTACAGCTACTTTAAGAATAGAGTGAATCAGGAAAATACTGCTGTATGTCCACTAGATGAAGCTGACGATCATAGGAAATACTTATTTGCTATGATTACCAACTCCATCAGGCTTTAATGTGGACTTTTCCTGTTTTACTCTATTCTCCTGAATAAATAACAACCAACCTAGAGAGAAAATAGCCTAGTAACATTTAATGGTACCAACCAGGGGCGGACTGACCATTTGGAAACGCAGGCACTGCCTGAGTGCCCGGGGTCAGTAGGGGGCCCCATGAGATGCCCCTGGTACCTTTTTCATAGGATTTTTTGAGTTTGGGCAAGGACACAGGGGCCCCATGATCCCCTATTGCCCGGGGGCCCCATGAGTTGTCAGTCCGCCCCTGGTACCAACATTCACATAGAGCAAATGTACATGCAATTTTAAAGAACTAATTTCTCTTCATTTTTTTTTTAATGAATGCGTCCCTGTCTGTTTACAGTTTGTGAACAAGCCCAAAATTCTATGGTAGTTAAAGTACTCTATATTGCCAAAAGTATTGGAACACCTGCCTTTACACGAACATGAAATTTAATGGCATCCCAGTCTTAGTCTCTAGGGTTCAATATTGAGTTGGTCCACTCTTTGCAGCTATAACAGCTTCAACTCTTCTGGTAAGGCTGTCCACAGGATTTAGGAGTGTGTCTATGGGAATATTTGACCATTCTTCCAGAAGCGCATTTGTGAGGTCAGGCACTGATGTTGGACGAGAAGGCCTGGCTCGCATTCTTCGCTCTAATTCATTCCAAAGGTGTTTTATCGGGTTGAGGTCAGGACTCTGTGCAGGCCAGTCAAGTTCCTCCACCCCAAACTTGCTCATCCATGGCTTTATGGACATTGCTTTGTGCACTGGTGCACAGTCATGTTCTAACAGGAAGGGGCCATCCCCAAACTAATCCCACAAAGTTGGGAGCATGAAATTGCCCAAAATGTCTTGGTATGCTAACGTCTTAAGAGTTCCCTTTACTGGAACTAAGGGGCCAAGCCCAACCCTTGAAAAACAACCCCACACCACCATCTTCCCTCCACCAAACTTTACACTTGCACAATGCAGTCAGGCAAGTACCGTTCTCCTGGCAACTGCCAAACACCACTGCATCCAATGCTTTTCATTGCACTTGCTCGGTCATTTCATGGATGGACTTATTGCACAGGTGACAACCTATCACGGGACCACGCTTGAATTCGCTGAGCTCCTGAGAGGGTTCATTCTTTCACAAATGTTTGTAAAAGCAGTCTGCACACCCAGTTGCTTTATTTTATACAGCTGTGGCCATGGAGGTGAATGGAACACCTGAATCCAGTGATTTAGAGGACAGTCCCAATACCTTTGTCAATATAGTGTATATCTATACTTTAGGTTAAGATAGCATAGAGAATGGCTTGAATGTCTGTTAGGTTGTTCTACAGTATTTGCTGTCTGTGGCCCAGATACATAACAGATACACAACAAGAAGTGGTTGGCAAAACAGTTTCCCCTTTTTGTACTAGTGTTCAACACCCTCTACATGAGTCTACTAATCCCTTGCCTGTACACACTGGAGAACAAGAGGGAGGTTGCACAGCTGAGAATTATGTGGCAAGCTGCTATCATCCTACCAAGGAATTCAAAGAAAAACAAGGCTGAATGTGTCTGCTCTAGATAAATTAAATGGACTTTTCTGACTTTAGTGAAGTCTTCCCTGGGTGTCATTAGCAGTTCACCAATTGATTGTCATTGCTACCTGAAGTTGATTTTTTATTTAACTGTAGGAAGTCCTAACTCAGAATATCTGGATTGTCATTGAGTATTTATTTACAGCCTAGTCAGTTCATCTCTATGGCATAGCATTTATACGGTAAACACACAGGACATAGTTAGTGTGCCTCCAAAATCTAATCCTATTTATTAATGTTGTCACCTGCTATTGAACTTTTCCTTCATACATTATATCTTTTATAGACAGCCACTAAAACCCAAAATTACATTCAAGGTGATTTTCTTTCCCAGATATACGTGCTGCCAAAATCATTCAAGAACTCTGCTTCAATTTGTTTTTCAAGTATCTCTAAAAATAACTTAGTGCTATGGTAGAAATATTATAGGGCCAACATGTTCTTATATACACCTCCAAACTTTTCCTTCTTCTTCTTGTGACATTCAGAATCATCAGGCTCCTAAAGGGTGAGGAACGTCTGAAATAGGTGTGGCCGTGGATTGGGTTCCTCAGGGGTGGAACTAAATGTGATACTTTTATGTGAGAAAGTGTTTAGAATCTATTGCTGTTTTTATATAAATAACCGATTTTGTTGTGTTGTCCTCAGTGCACATGACATAACCTCTCAAATGAAAAGAATAACTAATATTACTTTCTTGTGATCGTTTCAATGAAAGTCTATGTAATATGAACACTAAATATTTATTCTTCAAGCTAGTCTGTGATTTTTTTTTGTTTTGTTTCTTTAGCCAGGATTCTTAGCTTTCAGGAGTACCAAGATGGATGTCAAGAATAAAGATATACTGTATTTCCTCTTGTGAAACAGGGATACATATTTATGAATATGGAAGATGCACCTGAGCTGAGTGCAGCCAGACTTGGCTCAGAAAATGTCTTGGCCCTAAAACTCTTTGAAAATGAAACTATGAATTTAAATTTAGTCCAAGAGAACATAGCATAGTAAAGAGACATATTGAATATTGCCTTTAAAGAATTACACTACCTTTCTGGCAAGTTAGATGTGTCTAGATGTGGCAGTAAAACTCAACATTGTTAATAATAAAGGAGTTGAAATTCTTCAGATATCGAAAACAGGGAATGCAGTTATTTAACAAAAAGAATTAAAGGATAAGTTCACCTTTCGTAACATGTTACATGTTACACCCATATTCAGGGTCCTGGACTCCACCCCCCCCCCATCCCCACTTTGACAGCTAGTGGAGGATCTTCTCCCCCCTCGCTAGCTGTCAAATTTTTAAAAAAAAACTACCGTGTGGGGATCCGCCCACACGGCCACGTCTCTCATTCATTGTCATCTGTGAATGAGAGAATACAAGTCCCGACAGCCTTAGCGGCTGTCAGCTTGTAGTCCTCAATGAACTACCACTGCACTGTGAAGAACTGTGGTAGTTCATTCATTCTTACTATCAATATATCTGCTTGCTTGTATATCCCGTACGGCCAAGCAGATATACTGACAGACCTGCAGGAGACCTGCATGGCATCAGGGATCTGCTGATCACTGGTGCAATGCTTTCAAGGCTCCCGCAGATAAAAAAAAATAAATGCCCATTTTTTTTACCTGCAAAAAATGTGCATTTATTATTTATTTCTAAAAGGTAAACTTATCCTTTAAGTGCTCCTTTACATTTCTCCGCTGCAGTGAGTTGAAGCAGTGCATGAGTTAGGGCTCTTTCACTTGGGCGGAATAAAAAACAGGCAGCTGAGTCTGCCAATCGCCCATCAATTTCTACCATTACAGCTGAATGGGGCTGTACACATACCACAACTGCAATGCTTTGCTTCATGGCTGCAACAATTTTAGCTCAGGTAGCAGAGTTTGAGAGGTGCCACGGCTTGCCAAACAAGTCAGTGAGAGGTGCCACAACCAATAGCCAAAGGTTTGTGGTTGTGGTGTGGTATTTTAATGCCTCCCTTTAATAGAGGGAAATTCATACTTGATTTTGACGTTGAAAGCTCTTTAGCCAAAGAAATATACAAGTAATGGGGTAGATGCCCATTGCCTATTTCACAAATTCTAGTAGAGCAAGACAAATGTTCATTTGATCCTTGTCAAATAATCCTATTCCGCCATGTATGGTTGCAATTATTCTCACTCAAAGAGCATTCTATAGTAATAGTTGGACAGACAATTGTATATCATTCAGCAGTGCAGCTCGTTGTGTATTATAAATCGAAACCAATGATTCCATACTCTTTATTAAATGAGAACCAGCTATTGCAGCAGTAAGCAGTTGTATATTGGCAGGTTATCATGCAGATATTCATTGTTCAGAAAAAAAACAGGCAAGTGTTGTATGGAAACAGACAGAATGGTATGTTTAAAGCTGCAAACAATTCCTCAACCTACTGCTTGTTGTCACTTAACTTATGACATGCATTTGACATCAAAGTGGAAAGGGTAGTTATGTGCTTGTTATCCACCAACCATTCCCATTTCTGCTCTCAAATATTTGTTGTTGTCTGACTAATGAAAGAGAAGCTCTTGTTGGATGCCATGGGCACGCCTGGCTTCTCCTCCCCACGGAATGCCCCTATAGCAAGCTGCTTGCTATGGGGGCATTCGTGCATGCTTGCATGCTTGCTTCTCCTGAGCTGTGCTCTGTGTGTCTATTGACACAAAGAGCCCTGCTTGGCCCCACCTCCCACTCACCCCTCAATGGCTGTGATTGGCAGCCAATGACTCCCGCTGCTGTCTCTGAGCTAATGAGGAGGGAGAGAGTCAAGTGAGCAACTGCTCTCATGCACAGCGCTGGATTGAGATCAGGCTCAGGTAAGCCTAATGGTGTTTAACCTCCCTGGCGGTATTCCCGAGTGTAGCTCGGGCAAAGTTTCTGTACCAAAAGCGGTAACCCCCCGAGCTACACTCGGGCTTACCATGCGGCGCTGCATAGGGAGTCCCTGCAGAGCTTACCTTGTCCTTCGCTCCCGCGATGTGTCCCCTGCAGCGTCCCCGGCCATCTCCTCCGGCCGATGCCAGCATCCGGCTTCTGTGATCTGGTCCCTGTGATGTCGGGATGTACGGGTGCCGCCGGCGGCGGCGGAAATTTGAAAATTTAAAAAAAAATTCATTTTTTTCAAAACAAATTTTACATAGTAAAACATTGCTGTTTCAAACTATTTCACATACATTTTGTCCCTAGTGCTCTGTCCTGTGCCCTGCCTGCATTTTTACTGTTCTTTCTGCCTGGAAACTGGCGTCCAAAAATCGTCCCTTTAGGTCAAAAGCAGGTTTAGATCAGCTAGAGAACAGCGATAGTAAATCAGAACCACTTGCAGAATTGAGTGATAATGATTCGTGGAGAAATTTGTCATCAGACACTGAAAACAATTTTGCGACTTTGCTCAGTGATGTGCGAACTTGGCGCTATATTTCAAATTTCAGTGTTTTTGGTTTGATTATTTTATTGAATTAAATGTATTATTATTATATATTATTATTTTTTATGATTATTTATTAAATTATAATTTATGATTTTGTGTTTCAAATTTTATCATACCCGGGATGTTTAATAGACTCTTGTTCGGACAGATTTCAGTGAGTTATTCCTAAATATTACAGCCTACAATAAAAAAACTACACATTTCCATGCAAAATAATGGTACCGCTTTCAGCACCAAAAATCTGAAATAATCATACCGCTAGGGAGGTTAATGGTGTAGATGCATTATTGTGTGTCTTTTATATCTGCCTGGAGATCAGCTTCAAAAGTAATATATCTGTTTAAAATATATAATGTTGTTTTTCCTCATCATTGCTATTGCATTGAGTTATTGATTTTTCCTTACTACCACCATTGTTGCCAATTGAATGTTCCATATCACCAAATTGTGCCAGCTTTTTCATACAGAAACTAAAGTGCTCTTTTTCATTTACAGGTGAAGTAAAGTCGGGAAGCTTCAGTGAGAGCTCCCCCACTCTGCTCCTCTGGTGACTTCAGACCCTCCTCATTTTAGCTATTTCCACAGAGAGGACTGCTTCACTTCCCCAATGGACAGGCAACACCATGAAACCTCATCATTGTAAATACCATTGACTCTGGTGGGACGTTTGGCTTCAACACTTTTGGTTGCATGCTTTTCTTAGGATCTTTATAACGCTTTCTAACAATGGCCGCCCTAGGTATGAATTGCTTCCGGTCAATCACAATCCTCAATATGCAACTGGCTCTGTGAAGGAACTATCCGTCCTTCATCCTTTAAGCCAATGACTGTTTCAATGGATTTGGTCCTGACAATGAAGAGAAATGTGCTCAACATGTTTAAATCTGTCCTCAGGTGACTACACTCACAATTACACAATGTGAACTCAAAATTCTGACTCCACAAATACCAATAACCCTCAGGATTCCAACATTTCTACATATTGATGATATTCCTTCTATACTCAGCCAGCAAAAGGTCCCAGGATCTCAGTAACTCTACAAAAGGCACAGAAAGTCATTCTACAAAGTCCAACTAATCACCTTTTATACTTCTAAAGTGGACTAAAAATGAGTAAACCATCAACGATGGTGGAACGTTCTTAAGACACTAAAAAGCAAATAAATCAATCTTGTATATACGGCTGTACAAAATTTCACTGTATATAAATGTAAAAGTAATCCACTTCCCTGCTGGGGGAGAATGAAAGTGTAATGGAGACCCCCCAGGGCAAGAAAGAGGGGGCCAAGCATGGTGCAGATGTCTCTGCTGATCATAATGTATTCATCCATGATGTTAGGAAAGAAACTTATACAGTTTAATGTATAGAGCTCAGCTCTCACCAGCATTTCATTTGCTTCCATTGAACAGTCATGGTATGTAAAAGTCAATAATTTAGTATATATCAATATATATATATTTTTGGTTTGCCAAAACGTTTATTCATCATGTAATTTAGGTACACAATTTCAGCTGTACAATTTGTGTTTATCTAGTCTGCTGCCCCACACTAGTGCCTGCATGCTTTTTCCACTGAACCAACCACTTCCTGTTTTTCATTAGATAAGTAACTTGATGGTTGCTACACCCACCTTGACTTCCAGCTAAGTTGTCTCTAGAAACAAGTCCAAGACTCCCTTTGAACCATTGGTGCCTGACAAAAGAATGCGTGATTTGTTGTCTCAGATGAGACTTCCAGTGACAAACCAGTACAATATACAATTGCTTTGTCAGTTTCACACGATAGAATGTTGTTGGTAGATGGCTTGGATAATTTTTCAGAGGCAACTTAGTTGGAAGAAAATCTATAACTTGGTATAAACTTGAAAGAAGGTTAAAAAAGAAAAGTGGGGAGCACCATAAATTATTTTGCTGCTGCTTCTGAACAGTGCAGGCGTAGGCATGTGCCTCCGTAGGCTAACTGGAAATCTATAGCTAGATAAAGCAATATAAAAAAGTTTTCACAGTACTCAATACTATTTTATTTTCTTGAGGATAAATTACCCAACGGGGAAGAAAAGGAACAGAAATCAATTGTATATGCATGTACTGGAACACCTTTGTTATCCAGGACCCACAGCCCATTGCCTTGGTGGTATCAAGTCCTTTGATGTTCCACTGAGGGACCTCTAATGCGTTGTGATTTTTTTTTTATGGCTGTATCCTAGAAGACTCGAACTTTGGTAAATAGGTTGCTGGTGAGAAGCCAAGGCTTTCTAATGGGTATTATTGCTCCTAGTTTAAACTAATACCAATTTAAAAGTGATAGAACTATCACTATATTATAAATGAAGCCATATAAAGATATCTGATGCATTAGCCACCAGGGACTTCTTTTCTATGGCTAGCTGCAGCCTCAGAATCTGGCTGGCTCTTCCTTTCTCAACCAACTCACAGCAATATTAAAGGCCAGTAAGTAGAAGGAAATGAAAGGTTATTTCATTACAGTATAACTAAGACAAAGCTTTTTTTTTTGTTTTGGACAGAGTGTAGATGGATTAGAATACTTATTAGATTTTATTACTGTCTGTGCCACTTGGAGATTTACCCTCTCATTTGACCTGTTTACCATATCATTGAAAGTGAAAGTGAGAGAAACCCCCAAATTTTGGGTTCCCCCTAGAAAATTCTTAGAGGGGAAATCTTCCAATGGGGACACTAATTCTGGTGATCTGGGGGACCCAAGGTATTCCCTTTATTTGCAAGGATTTCTTCTCACTTCCTGTTTTGGATAGGGGACAGGGAAGTGAAGGTAAATCTCCCCAATGGGACACAGATGGCAAAAAGAAAAACACTTTGGTTATAGCCCTCCCTTACTCTATCTAAGATGAGAAGAAAAACAAGTTTTGCCTATAGTTCTACTTTAATGCTATGCAGAAGGGACTAAAAGAAGAATGGTGGTCTCACAATTAGGGGCAACTATAGGAGGAAAACAGGGTCCTGTGCAAAAATAAACCCTTATTTTTTGGCAAATTGGAGGTTCAGGAGGAAGTTGGAAAAAAGCAAGCCTCCTTAATTGAATAAGCTCTTTATTGAAGACATGTCAACATTACTGGTTAAATGTGCCAGAAAAAGGTTTCTGCAAGGGCTTTCTCTGCTTCACTCAGCAATGGGACACAAATCTGCCTCTCTTGCTAAGGGTTATCCTTTTTTCCTGAGCTCCAGGGTCTAATTTATCTAAGTGCCCGAAGGAACGACTGTTCTTCTGCTCTTAGCAACCCGACAGAGCCTTTATTTCATTTGCCCATACTGCCTATAAAGAATAAAAGATAGTAGCGATGATTGAATCAGGAGAATTGCTGAATCACTACTTTTTGATTCTACTGAATATTTGCATATGGATTTGTCTGATCTGAAGAGAGTAACACAAGTTAGTAACGAAGAGAATTGTGATTCGTGAATTGTATAATTCTCTGCAGACTGAACAAGAATCAGAAGAATTAAAGTGACTCTCTCGCTAAAATTAAAACCTCAAACAAATGTCCCCAGCAAAGAGCAACGTGACTTCTGAAAGTGTTGATTTCCTTGCCCCTCCCACTGCGCTCTTTGGATCCTCCCATCGACAAAGGGCAGATTGAACTATTGAGAGCAGTAGGGTACTGGGATCTAACACTCCAAGAAGTGACATTTTCTAAAGATTCATAAGGGGGCTTTCAGTGCCGCAGGCAGCATGAAAGGTATGTTTTCACATTCTCTCCAGACAACACTTTGTTTGAAAGTTAGGCTTTAGAGATTGAGTTTCTTTAAAAAGTAGCTCCATTCACAAATTGACCATTTTGCTTGATTTTTAGACCAAAGCACTTACAATGAAACTCTTACTGGGGACAACAAGAGCAGTTTTTCCTGTTGTCTTTCACTCTCACGGTCAAAAACAATTGATTACTGTCCGTGATACTTTTTTTATTTGCACTAACATACAATTTTGAGGACAAGCTTTCGGGGTATGTCCCCTTCTTCAAAGTCCAACAGTACTCTCACGGTCAGAATTTTTTTTCCTTCTAGTTGATTCTAGTAGATAGTTTTCTCTTAGATGCCAAATGTAAAGGAACTATTCAATATTTTGCACATGGCAAAAATTGATCTAATCTTGCATTGATTACTACAGGACAAATACTTATATACACATAATTGTCAAATATATACACGCCATAGGTAATGATAAACAGTGTAGACTATGGAGTTGTTCACAACAATTTATTTGAATGTCTTAAATTATTACATGATTTTTTCACAGCCAGGGATTATTAGTTTAGGGATTTAGCATGTCCTTACACAGTCTATGATGTGTATCACCCATTAAGTTATAAGCATATGTATAAAAAGCTTTGTAAGATATTTTTAATCATTGTCAATTTCAGACATCACTGGTCAACAGCGAAGAACTGTCTTTCACTACATTGGTCATGAGAGCAGAATTTTTTTAATGCCACAGAGTTTCAGGAAACATATTTAATAGTTAATCATAAACTGTGGTTTAAGCAATACTTTATGTTTCATTCCTCTCTTTCTCCATCTCAGCTACCTCAACTAGACATTACACTCCCCATACTTAGTACCACACATATACTGTAAATGGTGGTGCCCCTCCCCATCAACAAGAGATGAGCAAACATTCTTAACATCCACTTTACCTACCTGATTTGGTTTG